GAGGAGGACGTGTAACTTGCTACTTCCTCCGCGTCATCGAAATTGTCGCAGTTTGACTAGTGACTTGTCACTTGTTACTGACAACTCTATAAACTAAGCCATTCAAAACTTATTACACAGTATGATAGTCTGAAGACTAGAGTAATGTTCCAGGACAATTGGACCGAGAGTTTTCATGCAGAGATGAAGTCCTCGTCGTCGCTGATGTCAATGAACGCAAAAATATCGTTCCGAAATATTTCAAGGAAGGTTGAAAGTTGGTCGCGCCTCATCTCAAACGCTTTTACTTTCTCAACAGGACAAGAGCTGCTATGCTTGTCGTCTGCTAGCTCTGGATGATTTCTACTACACCACCAACGAAGCCTAGTAAGAATACACGATCGTTGCGAGGTCGGTTGATTACCGTCGGCGGAATCACCTCAGTCTTGAAATGAACTTTTTTTAGCCGTGGCATGGCCACATCTCATGCAGGTAAGTGTAGTATCACGTCCAGCGCGCCCTCTTTTTCAGCATCACTGGTATACCATGGTACGGTACCTGCGCGTGCATCACTAGCACTACGTGTAGAGTAGTACACTTGGGAAAAAAGAGAGTCTACACGGCTCTTGCAGTTACGATCATGACTGTACTAGTAGTACTGAGTGTCTCAGCCAGAGCGACACATTTTATCGCTGTTGCAGGCATTTAGTTTGCCGACCCCTCGATGTTCCTCCAAGCGCTGCCACTTGTTCCACGAAGTCATTCTCACCCCAGCTAAGGTAAAACAGAGATGGGGCTTGAGTGAATGGCCATAAGCACGAGAAATGTGCAGGCTGCAACGCCTGACTGATCTCAGCGAGTCGAAATTACCATCGCAGCGACATCAGCGAAGAAATTGCGTCAAGTTCAAAAATTCCAGCTTCCAATGACAGAAAATAGAACTTTGCCGTCACCCTATACTGATGACTATCGCCTATGTCCGATTCCTTGCCTCTGGTACCAGTGCTGGTGAGTAAATACCGCGTTTTATATCAAAAGTCAAACTGCGAAAATTTCAATGACGCGGAGGAAGTAGTATTTTCGGCTGAGTTGCTTTCTGACATGTAAAGTATCATATACATAGCGTTTTCTGATCGTGGCATGCTTCGAATATTTGTATTTTCATTTTGCGACAAGAGTGAAGATAAGTGGCAATTTTAACTTGGCGGTTCAAGTAGGCCATTCACACGACGTGCAAACTCAAATTTATCGTACCGTTTCCAAAGATATTTACTCGCATACGATGAACTTGGACACATGCTTGTGTAGCGGGCCGCAGTCTCTCTCGGAGGCAAATGCACACGGGTCTCAGTGAACACACTGTTGTTAACTTTATTATTACTAAAGACTGACTGGCAACTAAATTAACTGACTGGCAATGAAATTAACTGGCAACTAAATTAATCGTGAGCAGCAGCTTTTATGCACAAGCAAACTCCGTACACTAATGTACGGGGATACGCTAATGTACGGAGATATAGTAACGTACGGGAATATGCTGACATACAGGGATACAGTAACGTACGGGAATATGCTATACGCTAAACACTATACGCTAAACACTATACGCTAAGCACTATACGCTGTACGCTGTGCAGTCACCAGCGTGCCAACGCTACACCTCCCTCTCAAATACAATCACGTCCTTGTGATTCGAATACTAGGTGATAGCCGGACACCAACAACTGGCTGCTATTTAGAAGAAACGGGCGGCATGTATGGTCGCGTCGGAATAAACTCGACGATAGGAGATAGGCAGAATGGATGTCTTGCATAATATAATACAGGTATGTAGTCGTGAACATTATAGTAGATCGCAAATTACTGGGAGAGCGTCAACCGGAATATGACAAATAATATCGGAAATGATAACGTTTGGAATAGACAGAAAAATGAACTGATAAACAAATCATAAAGTAGAAGCACACCAGGTTCACACGATCTCACGGGGTCAAAAGGGGAAAGAACTGTCCTCCAAATAGGACCTGCAGCACGCTTGCTGCACAACACTGGCACAACCTGCCAGGAACATCGTAGTTCAAAAACCGAACTGAATACACTATAAGGGGCATTGTCACACACATTGTCCCAGGTTAGCTGGGTAAACCGTGGCTCACCATGATCAGACGCCTACCAAACTAAACTGGATTCACACACTCGCATAAAGGAAGACTCAAGAGAATAGGAAGACTGAAGGAAGACAGGAAAGAAAATGCCATATCGGGAATGAGCGTTAGTAACCACGGCGGCGGCTGGAGCTACGGCGGAGGGCGAGCCAGGTTTTATCTTCATCTTGGTTGAGCCGGTCACTCAGAGCGGCTAGCTCGGCGTCACACAGATCACCCCCTCCTCGTCTTGAATCGTGGTCTTCACATTGTCGGCGCGACGTAAAGAGTGACGGTCTAGCCAGGAAGAGTGTTGACGAAATTCTGCATTCCACCACAGAGACGAAGTACCAAGTGAATGGTGGACTCCTGCTGAACGTTGTAGTCACTCAGGGTTCGGCCGTCTGCCAACTGCGTGCCGGCGAAAATCAAACGCTGCTGGTCTTGGGGAATACCCTCCTTGTCTTGGTCAGCAGCCTGCCTGTCGTCGTCCTCATCAGCTTCGCCATCACCACCGGTAGTATACATGTAGGTAGCGGGTCGCTTGGAATCGCCATCGGAGTCTCCAGTGTGTGCTGTGCGGATAGAAGGGTGATCCACGCTAGCACCGTGACTGTGCTGCAGGCTAATAAGCAGGACCAGGCCCAGGAAGGCAAGAAAAATGATTCTCATCTTGATTCGTCGCACGGAGCTGCAGCGGGTTGAGCCATGGGGGTCTGAGAAACGTGTAAAGTAACAAAGTTAGGTATAGAAGGAAACAAAATGAATTTACCGCTGCCACCAATTATGTAGCACCATTGCTACCAATGTAAAACAGGTGGGGTCGAATCTGACAAAGTTGACTTTAACCACCGCTGCCACCAATTATGTATCGGGCCGCAGTCTCTCTCGAAGGCAAATGCACACGGGTCTCAGTGAACACACTGTTGTTAACTTAATATTACTAAAGACTGGATCGAAGGTTGAACTCTAACTCTAAACTGACAATGAAATTAACTGGCTACTTAATTGACTGGCAACTAAATTAACTGACTGGCAATGAAATTAACTGGCAACTAAATTAATCGTGAGCAGCAGCTTTTATGCACAAGCAAACTCCGTACACTAATGTACGGGGATACGCTAATGTACGGAGATATAGTAACGTACGGGAATATGCTACTGTATTTCCTCGATTAATAGACCCGGTCTTTTGTTTTTTGGGCATGGTCCATTATTTGAGCACGGTCCGCTATATTTTCATCGGCACATCGCTGGAAATGACGTGTTAAAAATCCACCATTTCCAGCGATGTGCCGATGAAAATATAGTGGACCGTGCTCAAATAATGAAAGAAAGCACTAGCCACTACAAATATAATTGTAGTTGCGCAACCTAAAATCGCGTCCTTTTTTGATCCACCACGTGCTTTCTTAGTGCGCATGCTCAAAGTGATGAACTCAAATAAGAGACCGGGTCTCTTATTCGGGCATGGTCTACTAATTTTCCGTGAGGCCTCTAGGAGGGCCTACTATTTGAGCATGGTCTATTATTCGAGCATGGTCCATTAATCGGGGAAATACGGTATACGCTAAACACTATACGCTGTACGCTGTGAAGTCACCAGCGTGCCAATGCTACACTTGCAACTGATTTTTGAACTTGGCCGGGGTCCTTGTGTTCACGATCATACTTTGCACACGAGCAAAAGTGCCGGTGTTGAAAGTGCGCGCTGCAAATGTAGTGTGTGGGATATTTTTCAAACAGGAATTTCAAAATTTAAAATTTCCCCTCATTTCCAGAAGGTAACTATGGATACATTGACATGTGCAAAGTTTGTCCAGCACCGTGTGGACTGGATCGCGGTTTGCAAGTGATATCTTGGTCACACACGTACATGTGTTTGCATGTCGTGTGAATGGCCTATAAGTGCTTTGTTGAAAAGGCTATCTTAGCGGCTGCAGACATGGACTGGACGTGGATGTGACCTGCGCCTCACGGTCTCTCACGTGATTAGTCATGTGGTATGTGTCATTACACACACACACACACGCACGTACACACACGCACGTACACACACGCACGTACACGCGCACACACACACACACGCACGTCCACACACGCACGTACACACACGCACACACAGTGACACACACACACACACCTTTGGACCTTTTGACGCTCATCGCCGGAGGCGATGATAGCGATGCTACAGCAGAAGCCATAGCAGTTTGTGCTGGGATTGCACCATTCAACAGCTTGCAATGCTGAAGAATTGACCGCCACTATTCAGCCTGGTCTACACCACACAGCTATGAAGTTGCTTTTTTGGCCAGTGAATCCCTACTTTTTGGCCTTTTTTTTCCCGCACACACATCACACCACGTACTCCGGCATGCACTGGCTGTTTGTAACCACCCAGGAGAATGAAAGAAAAGTCAGGAGGAGTCTGAGAAAGAGAAGAAAAGCGCATGTGACCATAATCGTCGGGAATCGAACCCGCAGGCAATCGATTGGAAATCGCTGCACATACCACTGCACCATATGGGCCGCACATACCACTGCACCATATGGGCCACACATACGCACGCACACACTCACACACACACGCACACGCACACACACACACACACACACACACACACACACACACACACACACACACACACACACACTATGTATTATGTACAAACATACACACATAATGCACACATACACGCACGAGTGCCGGTTGGTGAGCGAGCGGACCTGAAATAGAAGTCTGTGAACCCTGCTTATGCCAATTGTCTACTGCGCCTAGCATGGCATGGGGAATAAAAGTAAACTGATCGACTCATTTCTGGTGTTCTGTGTGCTGTGCTGTGCTGTGCTTGTGCTTGTGCTTGTGCTTGTGCTCAGATGCAACTAAAGGAGAAAGAGGAGCTTCGAACTGGTGGGTGCCAAACTGTCTGCTAGATGTTAGAATTTCTTTGCTCAGTCGTCCCTTTCTAATCTGGCACCTTTTGCAACGTCATTTTCCGCTGGATAAACAAGGGTGCTGGATTATCAAATCCTGCCCTCCAACCCGGCCCACCTCCTAACTTACATGTTTGTGTCGTACATGTACATCAAAACGCAGGGATTTTCTGTGTCAATCCAAGTACTTTGTGGAATGCATGTCTATAACATACACTTGCCGGGAATATCCTATGCACTGGCATAGAATATTCCCAAGTGTATAGAGAGGTTCTGCACAACGAAAATTCGAACGAAGTTTCGAGACAGGCCTTGCGAAAATGTGTACGAATTTTCGCACGAACTTTGTGTTCTGCACATTTTCGTAGTTTGCACGCGCCAAGTGCACGTACGCCATGACCCGATCTCACGAAATTTCCTACGAAAGTTCATGTCGCGTTCCCTGCAAGTTTCGCGTCCAAAGTTCGTGCGAAGTTTCTCACTTCGTGACGTAGAGCGAAAGTTCGTACACATTTTCGTTTTGCAGAACCTCTCATATGTTACATGTGTTGTGTATGTTACAATGCTCCCTGACGGTATGCGATGTACAACTGCTGGATTAGAAAATCGAATTATGCACAGTTTGAGTGATTTGTTGCAGAAAATCGCCGCTGGAGGCGGAATTCAAGTGCCGGATTAAAGCGTAGAAAATGGACTTAAAAAATCCGTTTTGCCAGAAAGTGTGCTGGTTTGCAAGGGTGCTGGATAAACAAGTGCCGGATTAGAGAGGGACGACTGCAGTAATACTTTTTGGTTGTTACAGTCTTCAGGTACATATACTAGGTAACTTGAAGCTGAGGATATGATGGTTTAGTGAGTTGTGAGAGACACTCTGAGTATATGGTCTAGGTGACAGGGCAATCCGCTGTGTTTAGTCGCTGTATTACCAGTCAGCTGTACCTGATTGGAAAGCAGTGTTTAATATATCACTGCATTACCAGTATGGCCGACTATCTTATCTGCTAGTGCATGGTATTGATGGAGTTAAACAACAGCATGGCCAACTTGACTGGGTAGTTCATGGTGTTGGATGAATTCTTCACTGAGACAAGCCCATGAGAATTCTTGCTCTATTATGCTTGTGACTAGATATGAGAGGACAACAAAGAGAGGGAGACAGAGGGGAAGAGAGACAGACAGACAGACAGACAGACAGACAGACAGACAGACAGACAGACAGATCGACAGACATACAGACAGACAGACAGAAGGGGGTGTGGGTGGGGTAAAGGGCGACAGTAGAAGGGAGATCAGTAAGGGTGCATTCATCATACTACAGCAAAACAGAAAAGTTTTACTGACGGTTTTAGCTTGTGACAAGTCTCATGTTGCATTCACATACGTCAGTAACTGATCTCCAGAAACCAGAGAGTAGCACAAACACGACTCCTAGAGCTGATATTAATAAATTTTATTATGATATATTAACTGGTTTTGAGGGAAAGAGACATTTATTATGATAATAATTATTATGGAAACTACTACAGCCAGGCATTTGTCTACGCGTGCATCTGTTTCTGGCGCACTTTTCACGATGTGTTCCCCATTTGTCTATTCATAGTAAATGATTTTGGATACAATGATGGGAATGCCGTTCCTCCGGAGCGTAACCATTTTTGTGGTGACATTGTCGGCCATCACCTCCCGCCAGCCTTCGTCTTTTCCTTTTGGATTCAATTTTTCTGCCACCAGGGCATACTTTTCCTACGCCTTCAGCGTGGATCCGCTTGAGCGGACGCACACCTGCTCGTACACCCTCATGAGATGGTTCTAAATTTCGGAGGTGAAAATAACCGTAGGCATTCTCGAGCACTACCGGCTAGTTGTTGTTGTTGAAATTTTATTTTGTATCGCAGACCAAACGGGCAATGGTGCCCAATATTATGATGGCGATAAAGTAACGGCCAAAAGCCAAGAATACAAGCAAGCCTCCACCAAAGAGAGAAAAACACAGAAAACACAGACTGCAAATACTCAAACAGAAAAAGAGAAAGGGAAAAAAAGAAAAGAGAAGAAGAAGAAAAAAGTACGAGGGAAATAGGGAAAAAGAACAAAAGACAAATATAACGAAGAAAACGGAAAAAAAGCACAGTTGAGTCAAAGTTGAGTCACGACTCCAAGTCCAAGCCTAGATGCTGGCTAGCCATAAAAATAAACCTTTAAAAGTCTCTTCAATGATCTATGGCAGGCGAGGGACTTGAACTCTTGGGGCAGGGCGTTCCATAATCTAACAGCAGAAACGAGCGGCCGACAGTCACCCTAGTGCAGCTACAGGCGTCTCAAGTCAAGGTTTACAAAAGCTCAGAGGTGAAGGGCGCTTGAAGCTCAAATTACAATGTCGAGTAGTCGAAACTTGAAAGTCAGCGGCGCAGTGCAGGAAGTAGTGTTTTTACTACTCACTGGTGTAGTGTTTTGTACACGTCGTCGTGGCACTGGTGCTGTTCTTACTGGTATATTTCCCACAGTAAAAGGTTTCTGAGCCCCCCAAAAAGGGGTCGGGACAAATTCTACTGCTATTACTGCCGGGAACATCACGTGAGCGCGAGTTTCGAAAACTGTCATGACAACTTTCCCTATACTGCTGCTCTATACCGTGATATGAATGCGGCCTAAGGGGGAGGGGGAGGGGGCTCTTAACAGCTTTTGGTCGTTAGGTTCTTTTGTGATTGGAAAAATGGTTGTGCTTGATGCATGCTGCCATTTTCATTGACAACATAATTATAACAGTGAGTGTTGCTGCTGTGGCTGCTGCTGCTACTGCTGCTGCTACTGCTGCTGCTGCTGCTGCTGCTGCTGCTGCTGCTGCTACTGCTACTGCTGCTGTTACTGCTGCTGCTGCTGCTGTGGCTACTGGTGTGGCGACTGCTACTGCTGGTGTGGCTACTGGTGTGGCTGCTGATGTGACTGCCGCTGCATTATTGTTGTTTATTGCGATACAGCTGCCGTGGCTGAGGACATCATTGGTGGCAAGGACGAGGCCAGCGTGGTACGCGTGCGTATGTACCTTGTCGGCAAGTACGCCACAGGAAAGTCCAGCTTTGTCCGGTCACTGCTCGGTGAAGAGTTCATTGAAAACGCGGACAGCACCGACTCCATTTCCATCCATCGATCCAGACTCAGAATGCATCTCTCCTCTTCAACCGCCACAGGCACACAAGCAGCGGCACAAGTTCTTGTGGACGACAGTCAACATAGTTTCTTTGCCAATCTTCTCACAGCTCGTATCCGATCATCTCTAGATCTGGTCAAGAAAATCAAGGGGGCTCCAGAGATACCCATCACTCTACCCAATGTTCCACAACCATCTGCATGGTTCAAGCTGAAGGAATTCGCCATGTCCCTACTTCCAAGTACTGCTTCGTCTACTTTCCCTACTGCCTCCGCTACCGGCACCGTAGCATCTGCTGCATCCGCTGTCAACAATGAGTTTGCCAATGTTCCCCACGCTGATAAACTGACCAAAGTGGCACCAGATGTTATCTCTCAAGTTCGCTCGTCTGTCAGCAATGTGGATAACAGTTCAAATGAAGCGGAAGCAGCATATGCGTTTGTTGAGCTGTGGGACATGGGTGGACAGATGCCGATGTTGGTACAACAAAGCATCTCGTTTTCAGTTTGTGACAGCGTGTACATTGTGACTCTTGACATGAGGTGTGACCTGGATGAGGAGGTAACGGAAGACGTCTACCGCTTTGATGGTCAGGAGGTTGTAACTTGCACACCGTTGCCAGGAATGACGCAGGCTGACTACCTTCACATGTGTCTGTCACTGATTGCTTTGCAGCATAGGGCAGACACACACACTGACCAGCAGCAACAGCAGCAGCAACCAGACACAGAGACGGGTAAGAACAGTAGCAGCAATGGCAGCCACCATCATGATGAGAGTAGCACAGCCGTCATGGTTGTTGTTACACATGTGGATCTTGTCGACGACAACCAGATGGAGAAGAAGAAGAAGCTGTTCTTCAATGCCGTGTCCAAGCTGGCTGAAAGGGCCGGACCCAAAGTCAAGATCTGTGGACCCTTCTTTGTTGACAATCACCGTCTTCAAGATCGAGTATCGCGCCACAGCCAGCTCGCAGAAGCACAGCAAGAGCTCTCTAGAATTGTGTCTGCCTTTCCCGTCCAAGCAATTCCCTTGATGCAGGTGAAGATAGAAGAAGCTATTTCTCTCCACCAGAAGCAAATGCTGCGCTCTGCAAAGGCAGGGTGCAGTGATAAGCAGCAGCAGAGTTTTGTCAGCATGGTCTACCCCCAGTTTGTAGACTTTTGTCGGCATGTTAGCGGCAAAGATCTCTCGCGGACACAAGTGTCTGATCTACTGCATGACCTTCAGCAACATGGAACAGTATTCTGCTGTGACTGCCCGCATCCAGACACTTCAAGTGTCATCTTCCTGGAACCTCAGCAGCTGCTACTCAGCTTTGTACGCTTGATGACCTTCCCTCTAAAGGAGACAGCTTTTCCAAGCACCTCGGCAACATTAGTCAAAGATGTGAAACACTTTCGCTGCACGGGAATTGCCAGTGCTAGCCTAATAGAGAGAGTTTGGTATCCACTAAGCCATGTTGTTCAGCTAGCCCTCTGCAAATCCATGTGTTACTTCAATCTGGCAGCAGAGCTTGAGCCCACCAGCAGCACAGCCACGAGCAGCACAGCCACCAGCAGTACAGCCACCAGCAGTACAGCCACCAGCAGGACAGCCACCAGCAGTACAGCCACCAGCAGCACAGCCACCAGCAGCACAGCCACCAGCAGCACAGCCACCAGCAGCACAGCCACCAGCAGCACAGCCACCAGCAGCACAGCCACCAGCAGCACAGCCACCAGCAGCACAGCCACCAGCAGTACAGCCACCAGCAGTACAGCTTCCAGCAGTACAGATACCAGCACCGGAGCGTGTGGCAGTGGAGTCGGCAGCATTAGCAGCAGCAGCAAGAACAGGAGCAGACAAGGCAGATCTCTGGTTGTCACGCCAGGCCTACCCGACCTCTTCATCCCGTTCTGTTGCAACCAGGAAGCATTACGGTTGGTTTTGGAGGATGATGTTCCCTTTAAGCTACCGTTTAACCACCTCAGTTTCCCTGGGATGCTGTTTCCTCCACCACTGTTCGGTCGCTTAGTCACCTACATAATTCATCGTATGAAGAAAGAGTCGGCCAGTCTTCAGTTCACATCCAGTGCGGCATCACTGAATTTGGAGGTTGGTTGTAGTCAAGTATGCCTTTGCTGGACACCGACAGGTGTTCGCTTAGAATGCGCTGCTGATACACCATCCATACTTGCTGATGTGGCTTGGGATATGAAGAATGCAATTGTTGGCTTCACACAAGTTCTCAGCCGCCAAGGGTACCAGCAGTTTGCAGTTGTTGGCGAGTCTTTCGCCTGCACTTCCACATCATGCCAGGATCTCCTGAAGGAATGCAGCAGTCCTGCAGAGGTGCTGGTACACTCGTCGTGGGTGTTGCTGACCAGCTCGCACAAGAAGCATTTCTTGACAGCGTACAAGTCGGATAGCAGCACCGCTCTGACCTTCAAGGCTACGTGTGCTACCTGCAAAGAGAGGGTCATTGTCCCGAGGTCCTTCTGGCCCTGGCTGCGTAAGGATGTGCCATTTGTCCAAGCTGAGGTGAGTTGTGAAGATTTTCTTACACTGTTTTGTATGGTTTCAGCATACACTTGAAATGTCAAGCTGGTACAATAGATACTTTTGCTACTTCCTCCGGAAACAAAAACTTCGTGACTTTTTTCGCTACTTTTCGCTGCTGTTATTTCGCTCTCTCTCTGCTTCTGTCAGCCTGAAACACTGACATGACATTTCAGGATCGTAGGAAAGCATGATTCATATTCTGGAGAGCCGACAGTCGTCGCAAAGCAAGGGTGTCGACGTTGCAAACAATGCAAAGCGAACATGTTTTCATATTCGTCTACCAGGCGCAATGCGAAGAAAAGCACTGCCCTCACTGCTCGTCGTTGCTATTTATTAGTTCAGAACTTGACAGAGCAGGATAATGGCACCGAGGAGCAAGAAGAGTGGAAAATGAATAGCAATAGCAGCTAGCGTTTTGAAATCTTCGCCATCCCCGTAACGCCTGTCGGCATGCGGACAGGCCGGCAATATGTCAAAACTCCAAAACGCAGAGATGTGACAATCGTCACTTCGCGCAGCAGAGCAAGATGAACAAGTTCAAAATAGAAGTCGTTCAGCCACTGCTGAGCCCAGGCCTCAACGTGGATGATGTCGCCTTTTCCACCAGCCTCCATGATGTGTCCTTGGTCGCGAAGGAGAACAGGCGAGATCTGATCGCGGCAGTCGGGAAGTGCTGGTACGACTATGATGTCCCTCGGAGAAATTAGAAATGTTTGGCTTTTCCTGTGTTTGTTGTTCCGGGGCATCCTCGAGCGAGTGCGGAGGCGGCAACGAGTGCAGCGCCACCGTGGTCTCCACCGAGGTGTTGGAGAAGACATTCAGGTAACAGCGAAGACGATCAGGGACGCGGAGAAGCTCCTCTGTGACATACGACATTGTGTCAATCGCCCTGCCACTTCGGACGGTTTCAGCGGTGATGAGTCGAGCGATGGAGACCCAGACTGAGACTCTACTCCCATCAATCGATCCCGTAGATATTGTGGATATGTGGATTGAGTGTGTTGAAGTGTTTCTCTTCCAAAAGAACACTTTCGTTGAGCACAGTAACTCCTTGAAAAGCCATGTAAAAAAGTCACGAGGTTTTTGTTTCCGGAGGAAGTACTATAATCCACACCATCATGTGACAGTGATCATGTGACTGTGATCATGTGACTGTGATCATGTGACTGTGATCATGTGACTGTGATCATGTGACAGTGATCATGTGACAGTGATCATGTGACAGTGATCATGTGACTGTGATTATTTAACTGTGATCCTGGGACTGATAAAGTGACATTGTGTCTTGTGTAGTTTTCATTACCTTTTCAAGGAGGAGTATTTTCTTTACAGTTATACTCGATAGAATTCTACTTCATCAAAAGGCTAGCATACGATTGCAATGCACTACAAACACAGGGGAGCAAAATGTAAATCGGATGGTGAGCCAATTAAATTGACTGTATAAGATCTCGTGTAAGATCTGGTTACGTTGGTGGACAGTTAGTCATAACTCGTAACATTTTGTCCTTCTAAACACAGGGGAGTTATTATTTTACGGTATACGTCTGTGGAACGGCCATGACTGAACTTTTCTCTTGTCTGTGTTTCTTGCCTGCATATCTTTGGATTTCTAAAATGATTTCAGCAGTCACTAGCAGCACCAGCGGCACAAGAAACAGCAGTGCAAGCAACAGCAGTAGATGAGGATGAGAAGTCGTACGGCGACCCATTCCAACAGCGTGCCTTTCTAACCGATATTTCGCCTTGGTTGGGCAAGTTACCAGCGGGAACATTTCGTACAAAGGCGCAAGAGGCCGGGTTCTTCACCGATCTGCAGCAGATAGAAGACTTGAAGAGGATTGAGAAACTACAAGGAACACGCACTCACAACGAAGAGTTGGTCAACATTGTAAGCAGCGAGGAACAGGCCGGCTACATCAAGCTGGTGAAGCTCATCAATGGCTGGGGTAACTATCCCGACAAGGTCAACAAGATGAACCGGCTTCTGCCACGACGGGCTCGTGTGTAAATGGTAGGTTGCGTCCATTTCTTGCACTACCTGAATTCCGAATAAGTCATTGAAACGCAGATCTCTTGTTTGGCTGTGGTAATGTGTTTCTCATCAGATATTGTCCCAGTTGTGATAGAAAGTATGTTGATGAGGTATCCATTGTTCATAAATCAAATTTGAGAAAAGTCAAATTTCCTTGCGACTGGAAATTTGGAGCACATACACTGATAAAAAGTAAAAAGGACCAAGGAACTACAAGTGACACTATACTGTCCACTAACACCACCAGTTACTAAGCACATCAGCTCATGCGATAACAGTGCACGACACTGAACGACGGTACTGACGTTCTACAACTAACTGGCTAACAGCTCTAGCACATCTTGGATGCGCACTCCAACATAAGGAGGGGAAGGTGAGCGCAACCAAGATAAGCACGAGCTGAAAGTACAGTGCTGTTTTACTGAGGCGTTTGGTTTTGCATGATTCTTGTTCGCATAGCTTCCCCTTTTCTTGATCTTTGCATCTTTTGAGCCACGCAAGTTGTGTGGAATGTTGCTTTGCGTCCTAGAACAGTGGTTTGACCGTATTGTCCAATTGCTTTGCCAGTATCGTCATCGACATGCATGAACATCCGCCAGCGTCCTTCACAGCTGCGACTTTCAGCTCGTGCTTATCTTGGTTGCGCTCACCTTCCCCTCCTTATGTTATTTCTATAACTTAGAACCTTCCAAGTTGGAAGGCTGTTGGAGTGCGCATCCAAGATGTGCTAGAGCTATTAGCCAGTTAGTTGTAGAACGTCAGTACCATCGTTCAGTGTCGTGCAATGTTATCGCATGAGCTGATTTACTTAGTAACTGATGGTGTTAGTGGACATTATAGTGAAATGGGCCATTCACACTACGCCCAAAACGTGACGTTTTCGTTCGGATAGCCATGACAACATGAAACGTGGCGGGAAAATCGCCCTCCTGATATGAAAACGTAGACGACGTATCCAGATCCCTGTACCGAGTTTCGTTCTGTCGTTCCCAGCAGTGTATGTCCAAAAGAAGCTGTACACACAGCTGTACGAGTAGCGTGTACGTGCCTGTGTGAATGCACCTGCATAGAACGACGTCTGCCAGTACGTCATATTCCTAAACGTGACGTGTATTGTAACCATGGTAATGTAGTATGAATAGCCTATAACTTGTAGTTCCTTGATCTTTTTTACTTTTTATAAATAATCCTTGCATCTCCATCCGACTACATATTATACTGATATGTACCATAGTTTGCGGAGTGTTAGCCGCACCTTAAAACGCATGAAAGAATTTAGAATTGTGTGCATGAGTGTGGATTTAGGTGTTTGTGTGTGTGTGTGTGTGTGTGTGTGTGTACATATGCATGCATCCAATCTATTTTGGCTCCGGTGTATTCTATCATGTGATCGTCTTCGTGGCTGTGCGGTGTTCTCTGTTTGCTCCATCACAGATTGAGGTTTCAAGCAATTCACGCAGCAAGTGCTGGTCCTGTTCTCTCTCTCTCTCTCTCTCTCTCTCTCTCTCCCTCTCTCTCTCTCTCTCTCTCTCTCTCTCTCTCTCTCTCTCTCTCTCTCTCTCTCTCTCTCTCTCTCTCTCTCTCTCTCTCTCTCTCCTCTCTCTCTCCCTCTCTCTCTCCCTCTCTCTCTCTCTCTCTCTCTCTCTCTCTCTCTCTCTCTCTCTCTCTCTCTCTCTCTCTCTCTCTCTCTCTCTCTCTCTCTCTCTCTCTCTCTCTCTCTCTCTCTCTCTCTCTCCTCTCTCCCTCTCTCTCTCTCTCTCTCTCTCTCTCTCTCTCTCTCTCTCTCTCTCTCTCTCTCTCTCTCTCCCTCTCTCTCTCTCTCTCTCTCTCTCTCTCTCTCTCTCTCTCTCTCTCTCTCTCTCTCTCTCTCTCTCTCTCTCTCTCTCTCTCTCTCTCTCTCTCTCTCTCTCTCTCTCTCTCTCTCTCTCTCTCTCTCTCCGTGGTGTGTTCTCTATCTTACTGACTGGCTATGTTATCCATCAAATCCATTCCTCCATTCTTCCTTGGTCATATCTGCCAATTTTTAGCAACATTATGTTATTCTTGATCACTACCCCACTAAATATACGTAAATGAAATAGTCTAGTATGTTAGACAGTAGAGACAGCTAATTGTAGAGGACCACACCAGGTTACTATGCCCGTTGCAGAATTACTACTTATAGTCATACAATACATGAAATATTTCTTTTGAATTTTATGAATACACATACCAGCTCTACCACTCGGTATTGAGCACTCTCTTGGACAGCCTGGAACCTCTCTGTTTTACAGATATTGGAATATTTTCACTAGGCCGGAGTCCTCAACCTCATTTGGCCGAGGAGGTTTGAATATTTTTGGAGATATATTTCAAGTTACTCTTTATTTCTACATTCAAGTCACTTATAGATATACAAACTCATTCCAGCAGCTGATGTAATACTCTAGGTTACTCTACCCTGTATGAGCCCATGATGAGAAGGGAACGAAAACGTTTGGTTCAGAAAATCTTCCATTTATTCTTATAGACTGGTGTGGACAGAGTATAGATCATGCATAGTCGGATTCGGCAGCTGGTTTGTGTGTTTGCGTGTGCACGTGCAAAGCTTGCCTAGGAGACTGCATAGTCGGATTTGGCAGCTGGTTCGTGTGTTTGTGTGTGCATGTGCACGCTTGCCTTGGAGACTGCATAGTCGGATTCGGCAGCTGGTTCGTGTGTTTGCGTGTGCACGTGCCTAGGAGACTGCATAGTCGGATTCGGCAGCTGATTCGTGTGTTTGTGTGTACACGTGCACGCTTGCCTTGGAGAGCATAGTCGTATTCGGCAGCTGGTTCGTGTGTGCACGTGCACGCTTGCCTAGGAGACTGCATAGTTGGATTCGGCAGCTGGTTCGTGTGTTTGCATGTGCACGTGCGCGCGTGCCTAGGAGACTGCATAGTCTGATTCGGCAGCTGGTTTGTGTGTGTGTACGTGCACGCGTGCCTAGGAGACTGCATAGTCGGATTCAGCAGCTGGTTTGTGTGTGTACGTGCACGCGTGCCTAGGAGACTGCATAGTCGGATTCGGCAGCTGGTTTGTGTGTTTGTGTGTGCCTAAGAGACTGCATAGTCGGATTCGGCAGCTGGTGCGTGTGTTTGCGTGTGCACGTGCGCGCGTGCCTAGGAGACTGCATAGTCGGATTCGTCAGCTGGTGCGTGTGTGTACGTGCACGCGTGCCTAGGAGACTGCGTAGTCGGATTCGGCAGCTGGTTTGTGTGTGCCTAAGAGACTGCATAGTCAGATTCGGCAGCTGGTTCGTGTGTTTGCGTGCCTAGGAGACTGCATAGTCGGATTCGGCAGCTGGTACGTGTGTTTGCGTGTGCACGTGCGCGCGTGCCTAGGAGACTGCATAGTCGGATTCGGCAGCTGGTTCGTGTGTTTGTGTGTGCACGGCAGCCGGTTTGTGTGTGCGTGTATTCGAATATTCATGCATGTACAGTCTGTATCGGCTATAGCGTACCCTTTTGATTTCCGTGATTTATCACTATATCCGATGCATCACTATATGCGATACGATCGATTTTTTTATTTTTTATTTCGATCGACACATGAAAGGCAAGGAAATGCTTCCAGCATGGCGTTTTGACAAATGAGCATGCTGCATAGTTGACAGTCACAGTGCCCGCATTTCCATAAAAAAATTCTGTTATGTACATGTACATGTATCACTATAAAAATAAGCAACGTGAAGTCTGCTGAAGAAAGTAAAAAAATAGGGCCTTTGATATTATTGCTACATGTATTTTTAAGTTATCACTATAGCCGATAATAATTATAGTGTGTTATGCATGTTTTGATTCTTTGCTGCCATCATAATATCCGATATATCATTACATCCGATAATATTGGTTATAGTGATATTTTTGCTGGATAAAATACGTTTTGCTTTTGATATTTCGTACCAATATCACTGTAGCCGATATATTCATTTATCCGGTCACTCTATAGCCGATACAGACTGTATGTGACATCATCTTTAATAATATCGGTAGTTGTCTGTGGATTACTGTGTCCTGTGGTGGACTGTGACAGCACACCGTGATTATGTGGCAAGACATTCACCTGGCTGGTGGCCGGCACTGCCAGTCTGGTGGTTTTCATCTGTGTGATGTTGAGTGGAAAATGCGCAGTGACAGATAGTTTTTGCCTTTTGCCAGTACTGTATGATTGTGATCAATAGGCAACCTCTTGCATTGGCTGTCAGGTTGGATAGGATCATCAGTGTGTGTATTTAGAACAGTAATGACGTACTTGCTATTGTACTACCGTAATGTCACATTAGCTTCAGTGTTCATATCATTCTATACTGGAGTATTCTACGTATTCAGTAATTGAGTGGTTTATTTGGGAATTCCGCTAGGACCTGAAAGGTTTGACGTGGAATTCAGGTTACACTAGGAGGTGAAGGCTTAAAGAGAAAGTTTATATCAAAAAAGGTATTCTTTGTAGACCAAAGAGTGGTATATTAATTATACCAGTCTTTGGTCTACAAAGAATACCTTTTTTTGATATTACAATGAGAGTGGCTAACCATTGGCTTGTCCACCAACTCTTAGAGAAAGTTTACACAAACTACAACCTTGTCCCCTTGATATTCCCGCACTTTCTCACAATTCGCCATTTGATGAGCTCATTGATGCACAAGCAAAAGCCGCGGCAAAGTCTGACAGCGGAGAATGAGACAGCTACAGGGGTGGTGCGGGTGGGAACACACTGTCACATTCTCCGCCTTAACACCCTAGTATAACCTGAATTCCACGTCAGACCTTTCAGGTCCTAGCGGAATTCTCAATTACACTTCGAAGGCTCCGGCTACGAATGTGACAGTGTGATGTTTAAAGGGAAGACCTCACATGAGTAGCAAGGTAATTGTATTTGAATTTTATTATATTTAAGGATTTCCTAAAGGCTTTGGGCCTGTCGTGGGGATCTCCTGCGAGAAGAATGTAATGACAACTTAATGTAGAGGGAGCAGTTAATCGAGGATAGGCTAAGGAAATAGATCGAGGCATACAACATCTGGTAATTAAGGAGTTGGGATACCGTCAGTGTAATGAATATATCGGCGAAAATGCTGATAGAGAGAATGCTTGAATTCGGGGAGGCTGGTTATAGAGGTAAGAGAAGGCGGCAGGCAATTCCATAGCATTGCAGCTTTGTTGGAAAAGAGGGCAGAAAAACGCACACCGTCATAATTGATGTTAACTCACTGATCCTTATGCACAGATATACAGAATTCCCTCACTAGTGGGACCATTGTTATTAGGCTAGGGCCTGTTTTGGACTTCCTACTCTAAATAAAGAATACAAACAAACAAAGAAAAAGTTTGTTTGGTCTTCTTGAACTTGAAGACAGTGAAAGGTGAACATGTTGGTGTTCTGGAGATATTATGGATAAGTTTAAAATTAATAGTGTAGCAAGAGCTGATACTTATCTGCGAAAGTGCAAGGACTCTAAGTCACAAAGGGCGTTTAACTCGGATTTCGTCTCGCATCTATCTACAATTGACTTTTTACGTAGCAAATACTTCCTAGCTACTCTGGCTTGTAAAAATGTTTAAGGGGGCAGCCTACCCATAAATTTCATATGGCATTCAATTGACCGTAACTTTGGTGTTTCTCAATGGATTTGAGTGAAATTTTGACCACACACTCCTGCCACTATGCTGGCCCTCAGGACATGATTTACAAGTTCTTGCGCCTCACTGACAGGCTTTCCAGGCCGGAAAAACTCAAATTTCCGGCATAGTGCCACGGTGTGCGAGCCACCCAGGAGCCAAACAAATGCACTTACAATGTTTTCGCATTTTCGTGCTCATTCTGTTCGTGCGCGGGACTCAAACCTAGAACAAGTCCAGAAGCAGCCATGGGTGATGGGGTAGGGCCCCTCAACGAGGCCCTGGAATCTGTCACAACAGAACGAGTGGGCGTTCTCTCACACACTCCCACAGACCCAAGTCAATTTTTGAATTTTTTTAGGTTTAGCACGTGCTACGAGGTCGTACCTTTGATACAACATCCAGTGCTGGGACCTCCACAGCAAGCCATTTCCCAGCGCTGCACACCAAATCCAGGATACCCTCAGAAACCGGCAAAGACTGCCACTCACGTTTCACTAATGCCTAGTGCTGAATCCTACCTCACTTCTTGACACGACTCAAACTTGCCAAAGTCACTAGATCAACGTCAACTACAATAATCAAGCCACATATCTGCAACGTCACGAGGGTGCTGGCAAAAGTCCTGCTGCACGGCGGCGGGCTTCGCCCGCCGCCGTGCAGCCCAATACGTGGCTCAAAAACCTGATTTTTTGGAGCAAAATTCTGCACACTTTCACGTGTTTCCATGATACGACAAGTTGCGCACGGTCTGCTCACATTCAAATACAGTGCTGCCAACAAATGACAGCGTGCAACAAAAAAATCTTTCCTTGCAAGGGCACATTTTCGGCCATAACTCTTGAACGGCCGGTCAGATCGGGACACAATTTTCAGAGAATTTGCAGCTATTCATGCTCTTTCAACTGATGTAGCACTCAATATGAATTTACAAATTCGATTTTTCAGCGAATTTTTGGGTAGTCTGCCACCTTAAACGCTCCAGCTCAGGTTTGGTGATGGCATAGGACCAGGCCGAGGTGGCGTGTTCCAGGGCGGGTCGGACATAACCTTTATATAGAAGTAGAAAGGCTG